AATCGTACACTGAAGGTGAAATTTGGTGAGCAGACTGAGGCGAGAGTCAAAAAGATTGAGCTGTCTGTCACTCTGGGATTGTCATTCACATGGGATTCCAAAATGACCTCCACGGTCCACGGAAAGAAAAGACAAACTTGATGTACGAGTTGCTTTTTATATTTGTTTATAAACAAAATACTTTGATATGGTAAGAAAGGTGAAATTATGCGGGTGTGTGCAGGATACGGTGCTTGTGAGTTTCCAGCATGATGGTGTGGTGAAGAGGAACGAAGAGAGCTGACAGTATAATATAATATATTTGTTGTCATACATTTGGGGCTGATTTTGATTTTGCAGTGCAAAAGGTGAAGAAACAATGGGGTCTGATGAATTTTTTGGCTCTTCTTCCTATCTCTTTCTGTTTCTACTTCTTGCCTCAGGTAATTCCCTCCTTACACGTGATAATTAATGTATTATTCTACATTTTGTATTCATTACATTAAATCCTTTTTTTTTTGTTGATTATTGTCGCATCTGAAAATGCAATGCAGACAGCACACAAGAGTGGAGGTTCTAACTTTCGAGACGAAAATAGAAAAAATGAGAATCGCCACCAAAATTTAAAAAAAAAAATCAAAAAACTAATTAAAAAAGACAAGGATGGTCTTATGAAATTATAAAATAAGTTTGGGAGTCGATTGAGTGTGAAAATGTGTTAGGCATACCACAATATCCATTTGTGAGAACATTTACCTGAAGTTAATTGTGCCAAATTAATATGGTTTTAAAGTTATTTTAATTATTCCTTTCTTATTTGTATGTTCGATATAAAAAATAATAATAATTAAGTAAAAAATATTTATTTATTTATAAAGAACAACTTAACTCAGAATCAGATTCTGATGACACTACGTATGTAATGATGTGTCATTTTATTATTGGAAGATGACATTTAAGACACTCTCAAAGGAATTTATCACAATAAAACCCTAACAATTTTGTATTGGATATTATCTTATGAAAATACATATATATTGTTGTTAAAATTAAAGCTAAACCTTAACTTGTATTTTTTTATTAGAATTTTCTTAGAAACTTAATTTTATAAAATAACATATACATATTTTCATACGATAATATTTGATATAAAATTGTTAGGCTCTTATTATGATAAATTTTATTAAGAGGGTTTTAAATGTCATTTTTCCTCACGATATTCATCCCCTTCCCTCTGATATTTTCCTTTTCTCTCGCCCTTATTTGTAGGTGAATGTTGACCGTCTATTGACCCAAAAGCAAGTCTTTCGCTTTTGCTTGGGGCTATGCAAAACTCTCACAATCTTATCCAACTTGATTCAGCCCAATCAAATTTAATCTGATCAAATAATCCTATGAAAAATTGACCTTAAGCACTAAAAGGATCAACGAGACCAAATTTCATTTTTAGGTTTGATTAGATAGGAGATCAAGCTTTCAAACTATTTAATCCAGTCTGATTCAATCCTATAAAATTATCTACATATAATTATAATTATTTTATTTTTTAAAATAATTAAACATGAAGTCTAAGACCTGATTGTTGAACGTGTGGTTCATTCCTTAATTTCTTACCTCTCTTCTCTTCATGCAGTTTATATGTGTATATAATTTATTTTTTACACACATATCAAGTGTAATTAATTCTAGAGGAGATGATTGCATGAACATAGGTTAAAGTTTGTTGTTAATTTGTTGTTGTAATGTAGTTTAAACATGTTGAAGTTTGTTGAATGTTGTTATGGATTATAATTGAAATACTTTTTATTATTGTTGAAAATTGTTATGGATTTATTATGCTTAACTTTTAATGTTTGGGATAAATTTTATATAATTGTAAGTATTTTTATTATATTAATTGATTTTATTATGTTGAAATGAATTGTTACATCTCATAGAGAAAAAAGAAAAAAAAAAGAGGTAATATACTACCAAGAATCTTACAAACTAAATTTAGTCCTATTTAATTTTGGGTTAAGTTTAGACAAAATTAGACTTTGGATTGTCTATTTAATCCATTCCTCACAAAAGAGATTAGATTTCGAGTTGAGCCAAAATCTTCTCCTATATATCCTTACTTTTGCTCAGTCAAGATGGGGGCCAATATGTGAATTGTATTGTGAATATTAAATGCTTTCATTTGTTAAGTGTCAGGGCAAAACTAAGTGGTCCTTGGAAAAGAAAAAAAAAAACTAAGTGGAAAAGGGGGAGCAAGTGTGAGGAAACTGTTTCAAAATTTAGAAAAAGGATAATATAATTTTTAATCTTTTAAGTATGTTATGAATGGGTCCAATAATAATAATGGCAGCAACAAATGAACTTGTGAGGTTGGAGTAGTATGAATGGGCCATCAAATGATTAATGGGTTTGGTGTTTCGGAAGTATTTAAAGAGGAGTTAGGGCATTAAAAAAGTTGTTGAAAAGTTATGTGAACACTTTCTCTGCATCTTCTCTTTCTATTTGGCCATTTTCATTATGACTATGGATTTCCTTCTCCTCCTTTCTACAATTCTATGATTGTTTTCCCTTTCGTCCCCTTATTTTTATATTCTTGTAGTTCTATAATTTCTGTTTTATCAATTCTGGAATTTGGATTGAAAATTTTCAGTAAATTAATGTGTTCCTGAATTTATATAACTCGAGTCTATGAGAGAGTGAGAGAGAGAAAAAGTTAATATATGGAAGATGAAGATAAATGATTTAAAACTTGATTAAAAATCTTTTGTTGCGTGTGTGTAGCAAAAGCTAAACCTTAAAAAAGAAAAAGAAAAAGAAAGTGGAATAACATGGACAATTTAACTTGGCTTGTTATATTTCTGATTGCCTCGCCACCACTGGGTGCTGCAACAAATTGTGCAGGGTGATCGTACTGCAACAACAAGGACTATGCCTGTTAATATTGACCCCAAAAGAGAGCAAGTCTTCCTCTTTTGCTCATGCTCTTTGTGCTGTTTGGGTAAAAAGAATAATTAATTTTAGAGTAAAAATTATGATTTTATAAAAATATGTCCAAACGCTTCTATTACATATTAAAATTAATATTTATAAAATAAAGTAGAAATAAGTTTTGCATAATTTTTAAAAAATATAATTAAAAATTGGCATTGAAAAGCAAATAAGTTGTGCTCATTGAGTACGGGGTCACAGTCAAATATTAATGCTGCACAGAAATGTTGAGGGGTAGTTGAAATTGAAATAATGAGGGGAAAAGGGTCGAAGCCATCCTAGTAACTCTTGTCCTTTTCTTGGCATTTGATTTTCAGGGTGATTGCCTAGAAACGAGAACAAGGAAAAATAAACAAGATTAATACAAAAACATTGCATCTTAATTCAAAATTTTAAAGGTCAAGCTTATGAATATTTTTTTTATCATATATTAATTATTAAGCTTAATTTTTCATAAAAATTTAGACAACTGACATTATCTGTTTGTCCTCATACATGATCGGTTCCTCTTTGATTATATCGCAAAATGATTTTGATCATGGCTTTGATTTCTGTTTGGGACTCCACCGTCGGTGCCTCTTCATTTTCCTCTCTTAAATTATCTCCACCTGGTATTAATATTTGGTTTGAGTGTGAAGTTACGACCTCATTCTGCTGTTTCTTTACTAAATTAAATCTAGTAATCCACCGTTGGGATCTTTACAAATTTATGGGTGTAAATTTCATCCAAATCTATTTTATTGCAATTTATCGAGAAAAGGACACCTGAGGACTTTCTAAAAAAATTAATGTCATAGGATTTTTTTAAAACAAACTTTCAGTAATAAAACATTTAAAAAAAATGAGCACTGAATTTAAGATAAGTTATGATGTGATTTTGATTTGATAGTAGTTTTTTTTTTATAAAGTTCCAAGTTGTCATTCTGTTTTATAATTTAAATTTTCATGTACTTTTTATTTAAAATAGAAAAAATTAATCTTTTAATCTTTCAACTTTTAAATCACTTATAACTCAATCTCTTAACTATGACTCGCTGTGACTCAATCCCTCAACTATAACTCGCCTATGACTCAATCCCTCAACTTTTGAATCACTTATAAATTAGTCCCTTAACTTTTGTTAATTTTTTTTTCATGTTAACTTCTATCTCACATTAATGAATAAGAAGAGGGTATTTTAAAATAATATATGAGCATTTTTTTATCCCTCTTATTTGATAAAAAAATTAAAAAAATTAAAAAATAAGGATCGAGTTATAGGTAAATCAAAAGTTGAGGGACTGAGTTGCAGCGAGTTATAGTTGAAGGACTGAGTCGCAGCGAGTCATAGTTGAGAGACTGAATTACAAGTGAGTTAAAATTGAAGGACTAAAAAATTAATTTTCCTTTAAAATATTAACCATTCTAACTCTCTTGTTTTGTTCCCGTTTTTTTCATTTTCATTTTCTTCTTTTCATTGTCTTTAAATTTAAAATTTTTAATAATATCTAAATAAATAATTTTAAACACATATATTTTAATGTAAAATTTAAACTTTAAAATTCAAGCATTCGAATTTATCGGTCCAAAAGCAATATACAATATATCACTCATGTTGAGTTGATTATGGAAAAGATTGGACTTTAAGTTTTATCTTTTTTTTTTTTAGCTATATATGTTCTTGTTTTGTTTTTTGGTGTTGACTGTTGAGATATTTCTATTGACTTAAGAAGTAATCATCCGTCCTTATATATAAAGTATTTTTAATTAAATTTTATATATAAATAAAAATTTGTTATTTAATTAAACTCAGATGAAAACATAATGATTTTTTAATTTTACCCTTAATAATATCATAATTAATATCATGATGATGATGGGAAAAACATATAATTAATGATCTGTTTTATTTTTTAAGATGAAAGTAAAATTATTTAATTACTTAAAAATATTATTATCACCTTTTATGTTTAAGGATAAAATAATTTTTTAGAAAATATTTTATATACAAGGATGGAGGGAGTAAGTCTTTCTAGTTTGCTTCTGCTTCTGCCGCGTTCTGCTGATTGTGAACTCCGTCGTAGTCGCAGGTATTTTTTCTTTCTCTTTTCTCCATCTCGTCTTCAAGATTTTGTTTGGGTGAAGTTACAATCTCATACTTCTATTTCTTTACTAATAAAGCTCCTTCTTTCAGATCACTAACTTCTTCATTGTCCTTTGTTTGATTTTTCTTCCCCTCCTCCTCATTGTTCATGTTTTTCCCCCTTTTCTGATGTCATGGTTATGCTTTCTTCGTGGCGTTCTTGTTCGGCCTGACTCGATTTCCATAACTATGTCTAAAAGTGAGAAGTTTGGCTCATGAAAGGTTTAAAAATAGATTTTGGCCTCGCACTCCATGTTTTATTTTAAATTTGGCTCCCTCATTTATTAGCTTCTAGATCTACACGTAGTTCTAATTCATGGAACACTGGACCCTGAAAGTGAACTAATTGATTTAGCCCAAAAGTGTTTTAAGTAGTGTTGATCCATTGTATCCATGGAGACATAATCGACACTTATATACACGAGCGAGCGTGTGCGTGTATATATATGACAATTAACCTGTATGTCCACTGATGTCAATATTCATGTGCAGAGGCAATGAGTTCATCATCGCATGAGGGAATAACAACGACAAATGACACTGTGGTACTAGCACCGGAGAGAATTGCGGACCTCGTGAAAAAATATTTTAGATGGAGTATGGATATTTATATTTTACACCCTCTCTTTTTTATATTTTGCATGTTAAACTCATTTCATATTATTTTTTACCTCAGATCCAAAATTAATTTTTTTAACTCAAAAACTCAATAAATTTTAGCCCACAATTTCAATATACCCAAATAGTAATATTATTTTATAAAAAATTAACACTCATTAAACCTGTAAGAAAATAAAAAAAAATTAATCTGGCCCGCATCGTTTGAAATTTCAAATCAAATTTGAAGAAAAAAATTTGGTTGAAAAAGCCTTTTCTGTTATGAAATTTATGAAAAATGGTTGCGTAATTGAATGAGCAAACTATGGATGAATGATTGTCTTATGATTTATATTAAAAAAGAATTATTTAAAAGCATTGATAATAAGCTGAATGTTCAACGATTTTAAAATATGAAACCATGTAGAGAAAATTTATAAGGTATGTAATTATTAAGTAATTTTTTATTGTTTTTTAAATTATGAATATGTAAATAATTCTGCCCTTCCAGGCCCAGGATCCTGGCTCCACCACTGACTCTTTGCATGTATACTTATGTTTGTGCTGAAGTTGCTAATTTATTGTTTTTCCTTAGTTTTCCAAAAGAATAATAAAATTTTTAATTCCTCAATTTTGCCTTAGTTATCAGTTTGATCTCTTATAATTTAATTTCTTATATTATCATGTGAGTCTTTTAAGTTTTAAAACACAAATTAATCCTATTTAATTTTTATCAATATAAACCCTTACATTGTGTTTTGATCTATTGTTTTTTAAAATTATAGAATTTTTCTTTTTTCTATCTAGATAACTATATTCTTTTTATTAATTTATATAGCTGTCATTAATATTCTATTTCCATGTCAAAAAATTTTAACAATGCAACCTCTTTTTTAAAACAATAAGTATCAAATCGATAATTAAAATAAACTTAAGAGACCAAATTGATAATAGAGACAAACTTAAAGGAATAAAAGTTGTATTATCCCTTTTCTAAATCTTGAATAGAAAATAAAAACTACATATTTTTTGAGTTTAAGACATCATCATCATCATCATCATCATCATCATCATCATCATTAAATTTGAAAAAGTGACATCGTCCTAGGTAAAGTGATATTATTATTTTTTTTTTTGAGTTTAACAATTATTATTATTATATATACTTCATTTGTTCCTAATTATAAGGTAAAGTTTCAAATCCCTATTGAATCCTAAATATAGGATAAAATTATGGTAGTTAAATTTTTTTCCAACCTTATCCCTCTTTAATTGCAATAAATTGTTGGCATGCTTTTAACTTCTATCCAACACTTCATTATGGTTATTATAATACTTTTTGCCAAAAAAATGAAGGCTACTACTTCTTACAATGTTTTTAAATTAGTTAGATTTACTATATAATGAGGCCCAGGGACAGGGAGTGTGTAAAGATTATTTATTCTATAACAAACTCCTCTTATTACTATTATTAACATATTAAGATTTTGTTTGGGTAAAGTTACAATCTCATGTATACTTTATTTCTTTACCAAAGCTCTGTTCTTTCAGATCATTAACTTCTACTTCTTCGTTGTTTGTTTGATTTTTTACTTCTATTTGTTGGTTATGTTTTCTTTTTGGGGTTCTTGTTTGGCCTGGTCCAATTTTCATAGCTGTCTATATATTACAGTTCACATTTTCATCGTTTAAATTTAATTTGGGAAGGGTAAAAATATATATGCCTGAATTTTATATTTCTATTGTTGCTTTAGTTACGAGACTGGCTGGCTATTTTCGTGAAGGTGGACATACGTGCACGGAAGGGAAAGAATTAAGAGGTTTCTATAGTTTCTAATTTATGTTTGCATGTCAATGTTTGGATAAATATTCATTTGATAACAAGTAAAATAGGGCTATCTCCAGAGATAGTTTACCATTTGTAACGAATATTAGAAAAAAGGAAAATCAATTGTGAGTTTAGAGAAACATACTGTCTCTGCTACTCACGTTTAGATGTTTATACAAGTAAACTGAGTTACTCGAAAAATGATCATTACACAGTTACACACACACACACACACACACACACATTTCTTTCTTTCTTTGTCTTTTTTTTAAAAAAAGAAAAAGATGACAAGCCCAAAAGAGTCTTTTGGTCTCTATCCGTTATCCAAGTAAAATACGATCCATCATGTTTAGGTCCTTCTTGCTATTATGTCGTGTATTAGCGTTAATCAATAGTCAATTTGACTTGATACTTGCAAAGGCACTTTATAAAATTAATAAACCAAAATAAAGCTTTATACATAGTTAAAAAATCAATGGTACACTTTTGCCTTATCAAGTAATATTTCATATTTATATTTGGGTGTCATGATTTTCTTCATGGGTTTCTAGTCTGTTTCTGATTTCCATAACTATAACCTTTTTATATATATAACTAATTTGCAAGTGACAGTATGCTCGTCAGATGACGCCCAGATGAAGCAAAAAGTGAAGAAACTACTTAAGCATGTTAGGGAAGGCAAGTGGGAAAGCGTGATGGAAACATACAAGAAAGAAAGAGGGCTTCGCACGGAGAAGATAACAGAAAACGAAGACACAGTGTTACACATGGCTTTGTCTAAAAATGCGTACCGGGCAGCGTTAGAAATGGTATCCTTCATACTTCGCGAAGACAAAGAAGAAAAAGGGCACGCGAAAGAGGTGTTTGGAACTAAGAATAAGAAAAATAACACTGCTCTGCACTTAGCAGCTTCAATGGGTTATTTTAGAATTTGTGAGATGATTTGTAAAGTAGAGCCATCCTTAGTTAGGGAACGCAACACTGATGAGGAGACTCCCCTCTTCCTGGCGGCACACAGTGGCAACAAACGAGCTTTTCTTTTCCTTCATTATCTTTGTATGATCCATGCTGGAGATTCTTCAACTCATCATGGCCACGCGCACTATATACAAAGGGGCAATGATGATACCATCCTCCACTGTGCAATTGCACAGGGCCATATTGGTAAATTCAAACCAGAATTCATTCTTTCATATATTGCTGTGTAATGTGTTTTAGACTTAATTAACCAAGCAAGTTGAAGTGCAGATCTATATGTATATATTTATATATATGGTTTGCTTTGATTTGGCAGAAGTGGCAATCGAAATATTTTACCTTTATTATGGAGATCTTGTGAAAGAGATGAAGTGCAACAAGGATGGCTTGTTTCCGCTCCATCTCCTAGCAGCAATTCCTTCAGCTTTCAAAAGTACCAGTCTCCATGGTCGATCTACCATCGTCCGCTTCATTTATCGTAAGTACTGTACTGTTGTCCATTGAAGAGAATTGTGAGTGAGATGTTTCTCCTCCGTACAGAAACATGCTTCTTAGGAAAGCAAACATATTTATGAAGTGTCTGTTCATTTCATGAACTTTGTGACTTTACTTTATGTATAAATAATATGCTTGGTTTGTTTGGAACTTCCATAAGGGCTTTTTCGTGTTAAGAAGAAGAAGGAGGCCACGACCATTGAAGAATTGGAACGTGAACAGATGCCATCCGTCTGTCGTCGTATCTGCTTTAGAGTAATAGAATTGTTTGATCCAGGTAATTAAGCATGATTAATTAGTGCTCATCTTCTATACATACATACATACATACATGTTTGGAAACTAATAAACTTGTGATGGCTCATGCTGGCAGAATGTATGCCATTACTTGAAATCCCTCGCGTCAAGTACATTTTTGCCCTGCCGGGATTGATAATTTTTGTCCTGCTAGGCCTTACGCTAGTCCTTCCGCTATTCATCCTGGCTTTATTTTTATTAGCAGGTACGTACGCCATGTCAATGTGCATACAAAAGCATACATGTATATACTTGATTTAATGAAAATCATGCATGCCATATGATTTATATTGGTTCATTTGGAAAAAAGTACTGTATATGTATGTCTATCAATAACTACTAGTATTCCCGTTGAAAAAAGATTTAAACCAAACCAACCAAAAAAACAAAAAAAAAAAAAGAAGAAAACAGAGAGAGAGAGAAGGAGCGCAGAGAAGAACTAACATATGGACTTTTTTTTTTTTTTTTTTGGATCTAAAACTTCACTTTCACCAAGCTGTGGTTATCCTGTACATCTTTTGATCTTATAACCTCCAAAACGTGTCTTTTGGAATTAGAAAGGTGTAAGGTCGATAAATTTTAAGGTGCGTTTGAGAGGAGATATCTTAAAGAGTTTGAGTTCAAAAATGGAGTTAAAAGCTTTTAATTAATTTTCCTTGATATTTTATCTATCTTAAATATTTTCTTTATTAATTGCTTTTCTCTCATATTTTTTAATTATATATAATTATAAACTGTTATGGTGAAAGTGTAAATTTGATGCTCTTTCAGTTTGGTCACATGATTTTATAAAGTATCTTTACAGCTGTCTAAGTCTAACACAATTAGTTCCATATAAAAAAAGTTAACATTGTAATTTTAAATGCTGACAAAAATTCATAAATGATTTTTTTGTGTGCAAAACATGTTTACTTTTCCAAATTAAACTTAATATATTAGTATTTGAACATGTTTTGCTACCATTTAAAATTATAATATCGACATTTTCTATTATCAATGAATTAATGTTAAAGATTAAGAGACTAAAAAAATAATTTATAAAATTAAAAAAATAACTAAAGTAAGATTTTATATAAAGTTAACAAATTAAATGTATATTATTGTCCATTATTTTTGAATTCTCCATAATATTTTGAAAAGATTTCATGGTGGCTGATTCCTAGGGTACAGGTGGCTCCTTGAGATACGAAAAATGAAGGAGAAGCACAAATGGACTCGTCAAATAATGAATGGACTTCTTGAGCATACCTCCCATGATGAAATGTTAAAGACAAAACATGACAACGGTAGTTAAATTAAAGCATTATAATTTTATTCTATAAATATAGAACATATAGACATTTTAGGCGGAGTAATCATTCTTCATCTTCACTGTTAGATCACTTATGAATGAACTTCATTCTTCATCTTCATTGCTGCCCTATACTTATGACTGAAGGAGAGGGTATTGATTTAGTTAATTGTATGCTCATAGTGAGAATTGAGCTAGTTTCCATGAATTTTCTTAGTTCAACATGTAATAATTATTTTGTGATCTCAATTGTGAATGATTTGGATAGAGCTGGTAGAGACGCCTCTAATGATTGCTGCGAAGAATGGTGTGATAGAAATGGTGGAGAGGATTATGGAAAAATTTCCATCGATGATTGACAATGTGAATGATGAGGGGAAGAACATAGTTCTGGTAGCAGCAGAAAATAGACAGACCCAGTTATATAAGTTTTTATGGAATCGAAAGGACGACACAATTCCCGAAAGTGCATTTAGGCAAGTGGATCAAAAGGGGAACACTGCATTGCACTTGGCAGCCATGAGTGGTGCCAACCTAAATTGGCAAACAACAACCATGATAGGGGAATCCAAGTGGTTTGAGGTGCGTTTCCATTTGCTGCTAAACTTGTTTGGCTTAACTAACTATTACCACATCTGATGGATAACAAATCTTCTGGTCTCTGAAATTTACCTCAATTATTAATTTAATTTGATCCTTAAAGTTAATCTTTATCAATCAAGGCCCTAAAGTTTCATAAACAATTTCATGTTCTTATTTGATCTCATTATACCAGCAATTTTTTCTGCAATGCATGAGTTAAAGGTTACACCACCTGTGCGTCTTCAAACCATATTGCATAACTCACTGTGTATGATTATCAAACTTTAGGGACTTGATTAATATTGATTAAATAAACTTGAGGGATTAAAAATTTCATTATTCACTTATTACTAAACTACTTCCTCCGATCCTATTTATAAAATATATGGAGAATTTTTTTTAGTTATATTTATAAGTCATATCATTAAATTTTAATCACAAATTTCTCCCTTTGCCCTCTATTAAAGATTGGTGAGAGATAATGTTTGTTGTTATAGTATGTATATTTAATAGGGATAAAGTTGTGAATTTGTTAAATTTTTAAATAAAATTAATAAGTTTCAAGATTTTCTTTGATTATGATGACATATGTTGGAAGTGACTAATTGATTTCATTAGTCACCTCTAAAATTTTTCAAATGTGTATTACATGCTCTTTCATAATTAATGAATTTAAATAGGGATAATATTAAAAAACATAATTAACAACTCATCAAGTCCCTTATGTAAAGGACTAAAAAATTCTTCTAAAATGTGTCTTATAATAGGGATCGGAAGGAATAGGACCAAAGGAGTATTTTAATTGACTTGACATGAAGGATTGATTCAAAATATTACATAAAATAAACAAGGTAAATAATTTATAAATGGTGATGGTCGCAGTTGGTGAAAAAATCAGTGCCTTCTAATTTGAGGGAGCAGCGCAACAATGAGAGTAAAAGTGCAGAAGGAATCTTTAGAGAGAGTTATGGGGAATTGATGAAAAGCGATCTAGAGTGGGTGTATAAAACCTCACAAGCATGTTCTGTGGTTTCGAGCTTGGTTGCAACGATGGTCTTTCCCAATGTGGCAGCTAGTTCCAATAATGATAGTGGCAAGCCAACCCTTATAAACAAGTTTGGATTCAAAACTCTTCCAAACCCATATCTCGTGACCCTTTTCCTGTCCCTCATGTCCACCATCTCCTTCCTAGGCATACTTGCTTCTCGTTTCCAATCTGCTTGGTTTTGGATGCATGTTCCTTTCATGCTTCACATCGGCATGTTCTTCATGTATGCCTCCCTTGTTTCTTTGTGGATCTCTCTCATGCTCCATGACCACTCTACAACAACTTACGTAATTCTTGGCTCTCCAATTGGCTTCCTTATCATTCTCTTACTAACTGTATTCATTGGTCCTACGTTGAAGTCTATGTATAACAATCCCCCTAGCCTCCAACCACTCATGCCACAGAAAGGAAAAGGAAAAAGGAACGGATCCGAACCCAAGGGAAACGGAACAGACAGCCGGGAAGCAAAAAAAGGATAAGAAATAATATGATTTTGAAAAATATTTTGCATTAGGATCAGATTTAAAACCCTGAAATTAATTAAGTGCATGTCTTATTTTTCAAACAACACCGTCCATCATATATCACTTTCATTTTAAATGCTTGTGTGTGGTGTGATTTGATAGCTTTATTTCTCTTTTGTTTGCAACAATGTGTGTAAGAAGTATACTTTGAAGTTTTTGATTATTGTTTCTTGGACTTCACTCTATAGCTTCATTTTTGGGGTGCTCACGAGGATGCCAATCCAACTTGTGGCTCACTTGTAAAGTGTGTGACTACTTTCATAAGTGAACTCACGAGTTTGATTCGGCCAGACAAGAAAGGTACACATGATGACCAATTAACTGATCTGATTCAAATATATGTGGACTTAACCAAATGGAGTAATTTAATTCATTGCATCACTTAATTAAATTGCTGGGATAGCTATCGTTTGTAATTTCTCATATTACTTGTGTATTGGGAGATTGATGATTGATGATTGTTTTGACAAGTTTGAGATAATTAGTGATTACTCCCTCCATTAAAAATATAACTAAGGCATTTTTTAGGTGAGATGTTAAAAAATATAAGCCATTTTGAGTCTTTAAAAGCATAATTAATGATTTAAAAAAAAAATACACGTAATTAGGAGATATAATTGATAATGTTTTTTAATTGAGGAACTCTATTAAATAAGGATAAGTATGAAAAAAGTGTGTAATTTTAAACACAATTAAGCAACTCACTGAGAATATGATTCAGTTAAAATTACCTTATGTAATATTGAAGGGGATGGGAATATATGACAATTAATTTAGACCTTGAACACATGGATTACCAGTATTGTTTACTTTAGATACGTCTGGTTTGTTTGGGTGATTGAGAAAAAAATTCTTTTTTAAAACTAATTAAATTAAAAAAAATAAAAGATTTAAAATATGCCTCAAACATAAAAAATTTCCAGCCCCTTTCATCTTCTTTTGTTTCTTCTACCAGCAAAATCTAATGAAGAATGAGTTGAAGTGGTTGTCGGTCATTTTTGCGGACTTATGGGCATGGGCATCTAAATCAAATGAAGAATGGAATAACGCTCGTGACATGGGTCCAGAACCTCTCACTTTTCTTTTTCTCATTTTCTCCTCCTCATCTCATCTTCAACCTTAAATGATAAAATGAGTGGTTCAGATTTTTTTTTAACCAACAGATTTAATTGTTTTATAAAATAATTATTATCTTATCTAATAAATAAATAAATTTAACTTGTTAAAATTTGACCTGCACAGTTTACAGTTGTTATTAAAATAATTTTTAAGATATTAAAAATTATAAATAAAATAAATTTTTAATAAAAGAGGGGGAACATTTAACCATTTTGAGAGAAAATAAAAATTTAATCATTTAATTTGTTAATTGTTTAAAAAATATGGATAGGAAAAAAGTAAAAGATATTAAACATAAACTAATATAATACATATATTTATAAATAAATTATATACTAAATAATTTTCATTTAAAGAAAAAATAAAATTTAAAAATTGGTTACAATATATAAGAATATTATTTAATATTTAAAATTTGTTTATTTTAAGTTCATTTTCCTATGAAAAATAAAATTAATTGCTAAAAACAATATTTTATTAAAAATATAATTTAAATATTCATATAAATTATTTTATCATATCAATAATTGAAAATAAAATATAATATATGTATATCTTTTTAACAATATATTATTTAATATATGTGTTTATAGTTAAATAATATATATTTAATTTTACATATGATAATTGTCAATGCATTTCAGCTCAACTGATAAAGAATGGAGACTTAAGACTTGGAAGTGAGTGGTTAAGGATTCAAACTCTTGGTTTTGGCATATTTTACACAAATATGTGATGTGGTGCGTGGTTGTGACAGGACATATGAGGTGGTTTTAGGAGGCACATAAGCAGCACGTGGCGGATGACGTGGCAATGTGATGTGGAATCATTTGGCGAATATGTGGCCTGTGACATGGCACAGAATGGCAGGTGATGTGGCATGAGGTGGCATTACATGCTGCACACGTGGCAGCATGACATGGCAAAAATAAATTATTATTTTTTTAAAAAATTTTGTCACTATCAAAAATTATTAGCGATAAGTTATAGAGGTCAAAAGTCACCACTAAAAAGCTTTTTTTAGTGTATATATGATAATGAAATAGTATATACTTATTACACGCACGTTGTCACAAACAAAAGAGAAATAAAACCATCAAATCACACATACACTTAAGCAACCATTTTAAATGAAAGTGATGAAGGATGATATTGTTTGAATAACAAGACATGCACTCAATTTCCAGGGTTCAAATCTCTTGCATGTTCCGTTTTCTTGTTCCTTTGATAACAAATGACACCAATGGTGCAACGGTTAGGGGTAGGAACCTTGGTAAAAATAGACATTAACGTAGGACTAATAAATATGGGAAGCAAGACAGTAATAAGGATGGTGATTGGAGAGACAAGGATTGTGTAAGTCGTTGTAGAGCGGTCGTAACAGAGCAGGAGATCAAGAGATCCATAAAGAAAACATGGAGCCGAACATGAAGGACATACCAAAGTAAAGCATGAAAGGAAGGTATCTCCAAAACCAAAAGCTAATAGATTGAAAAAGAGAAGCAAGTATAGCTAGGAAGGAGATGGTGGAAATGAGGGACAAGGAAAGGGCCATGAGATATGGGTTTGGAATAACTTTGAATCCAAACTTCTTTCTAAGGATTGACTGGCCCTTATTATCAGAATTGCTTGCTGCAGCATTAGTAAAAGTCATTGATGCAACCATAGTGGACACCACAAAACATGCTTGTGAGGTTTGATTCAACCCCTCTTTGTCACTCTTCATTACACATAGCATAGCATGTAAAACCCAAAGTGGAGATCAGGTCTCTATGACGGATTTGAAATTTTTACATGAAAAAATTAATCATTTGTTCCTTATAATTTTGATTTAATTATAATTAAATCTTTAAATTTTGACTTGCTATCATTTAATTCCTGAAGTTTTAACTTAGTTGTAATTCAGTCCCTAAACTTTGACTCTTACAACTCAATCCTTATATTTTTATTCATTTAAATATTGGTCCTTATAAATTATGTTAAAATGTATTACTCATATTTTAAATTACCAAACCCTTTTAATCTTTATAAATATCAAAAGTTTAAGATATTTTTAATCTTTAAATTTTATTTTTTAAAATATAAGAACAATATTTAAATGGTTGAAATTATAAGGACTGAGTTGCAAGAGGTAAAATTTAGGGACTAAGTTATAACAGGTTACAACTGAGTTAAGATTATAAAGACTTAGTTAAATGAGTTAAAATTTAGAGACTGAGTTATAATTGAGTTAAAATTATGGGGGCTAAATGATTAATTTTTCCTTTTACATTTTTTTTAAGAATTGATAAGTAAAATTACACCATACTTGAATTAAAGACATCAATAACTCCTTACAAAATATTAAATGAGTATTAGTGCACCTTAACTCTTAAAAGAACTAGAATTAAAAGGAAAAAATATCCATCAACTTTTTATCCAAAAGCACCCTATATCCTTAAATGAACAAAGATGCAAAAATACTTATGAACTTGTTATAATGAATGCAAGAGCCATCATTTTGTTAAATTTGACTAATGCCTTTAATGTTGATCATTTAAAAAAAAGGAACCAAACATAAAGGTAAAAAATAACCATAAATTTTTTCTCTAAGATTTTGATATCCTAAAGTTAATAAAAATTGTGCATGAGTACTCCTTAATTTTATAAAATAGGCCAACCTTTCCTAATTCATTAAGTTTTATTCTTGGCTATATGGGCTCTTAATAAAGTTAATGAGTATCCATATGCTATTATTATTGATTTTGGAAATACCAGAAACTCCTAAAAAAATTCTATGTATTTTTACATCTTATATTTGCTTTCTTTTTTTTAACAGTCAATATTAATGAACGTTGGTCCAATTAATAGAATGAATATTGCTGCACTCATTATAACAAGTTCACAAATATTCTTATACCTTTGTTCACTTAAAAATATTGGGTGCTCATAAAAAAGGGGTCATGGGTATTTTTACCTTTTCCAAAAAAACTGTTTTCTTCTTGCTAATATGAAGTGTCACTCAAATTAATATCAATGATTGAATACGCCCCCCAATTAAATAGCAACATGAATAATAGTTGAAAGTTGAAAAAATAGGAAAACATATCTCACACCTTCCATGGCTGACAACAAAATGAAGTAAAAAAAATATAGAATATTGTAATGAAGTTTCCAAAATTTTCACTTTTCTCAAATTTAAGAAATCCATTGATTAACTGTTTAAGAGTATAATCTTGACTATCACGCATTGACATAGAGCATCTCCCTAATCAACTAGGTTTACTTTATTTTAAAGTTAATTTCACACTTCAACTGGACTTAAACTCAAGCCCATTACCATTGAACCAAAGTTAATTGATGCTAGTTTTACTCTCTAATTAAAACATTGTGTATAGTACAAAAATTGAACATAATTTGTAAGTCTTCACATCACACTTTATGATATATTTTCAGACCTATACCTTATTGTTTATAAAGAAAAGAGAGAACAAACATTGGCAAAAAAGAAAAACGATCAACTCAGAGTCAAGTGTATTGGTTGAGTCCTTCACATCGTCATGCTCATACAGATGATAGGAGCCATTTGAAGAAGCCAACATTGGTCTCTCTTTTCCATCTCAATGTTGAGTACTCAACTAACATGTTCTACAGGTCCGCAACCGTCCATTGATGCAATAAAATCCAATCAACAACTTGTAAAAACACATCAAATTGAATTTACTCTGTGTGTGTGAGATACAAGGGAATTAGGAATAGTAAAGGTAATTAGGGGTAAAAGGCTAGTTTGGACATTTAGCATACTCTATAAATAAGGCCAGTAGAAGCTGCCAATGAAACTGGCATTTTTGTTGTGAAAATGCTGGCGAGTAAAACTAAATTCCCAAACTACCCTACTACCCCTAATTACTAATTACCTTTACTGTTCCTAATTCCCATTTATCAATATGTATATTCATGATGATGCCAAGTCTTACCACAAGAACAGACTAAATTTACAAGAAGCACTAAAACATGAGGACGATTCAATTCAT